CATGTCTGAAAATAAAGATGGCAGGAAAATTAAGGAAAAAATGAATTTAAGGCAAAAATGAATTTAAGGCATTTTGTCCTGCTTAAAAATGTCTGAAAATAGAAATGGCAGTAAAAATAAGGAAAAAATGAATTTAAGGCATTTTTTCCTGCTTAAAAATGTCTGAAAATAGAGATGGCAGTGTCCCCATGGCCTGAGCTGTCCCTCTGCTGCTCCTGCACTGCTTCAACACTGCAGGAAAATTAAGGGAAAAAATGAATTTACTGCAAACTGGAGCAGGAAAATTAAGGAAAAAATGAATTTATGGAAAAAATGAATTTAAGGAAAAAATGAATTTAAGATATTTTGTCTGGCTTAACCCAGTCTGAAAATAGAGATGGCAGTAAAAATAAGGAAAAAATGAATTTAAGGCATTTTTTCCTGCTTAAACATGTCTGAAAATAAAGATGGCAGTGTCCCCATAATGTCCCATAATGTCCCATAATGATGAGCTGTCCCTCTGCTGCTCCTGCACTGCTTCAACACTGCAGGAAAATTAAGGAAAAAAATGAATTTAAGCCATTTTGTACTGCTGAAACATTACTGAAAATAAAGATGGCAGGAAAATTAAGGAAAAAATGAATTTAAGCCATTGTGTATGTCTGAAAATACAGATGGCAGTGTCCCCATAATGTCCCCATGGCGTGAGCTGTCCCTCTACTGCTCCTGCACTGCTTCAACACTGCAAACTGGAGCAGGAAAATTAAGGAAAAAATGAATTTATGCCATTTTGTCCTGCTTAACCCTGCCTGAAAATCACACCCAGCGAAACAATAACNCATAGTGTTAGATATTTATTGTTTATTTAGTTTATTTAGTGTTAGATATTTAGTGTTTATTTAGGTTATTTAGTGTTAGATATTTAGTGTTTATTTAGGTTATTTAGTGTTAGATATTGATTGTTTATTTAGTTTATTTAGTGTTAGATATTTAGTGTTTTATTGATTTAGCTCATGCTCAGAGGAATGAAGTATACAAATGCATAGTGTTAGATAGTTAGTGTTTCTTAAATAAATTAATTAATTAAAATAAAATCTGTGAGTGAGATATTTAAATTTCAGATGCAAAATGGTGGCTTTGAGTCTCCTGATCAATTAGAGAGGAACTGCTTTTGGATTTTTGCATTTTTGTGCATCCTTGAGTGCTCATGCTCAGAGGAATGAGGTATACAAAAACATAGCGTTAAATATTTAGTGTTTATTTAGTTTATTTAGTGTTAGATATTTAGTGTTTATTTAGTTTATTTAGTGTTAGATATTTAGTGTTTATTTAGTTTATTTAGTGTTAGATGTTAAGTGTTTTATTTATTTAGCTCATGCTCAGAGGAATGAGGTATACAAATGCATAGTGTTAGATATTTAGTGTTTATTTAGTTTATTTAGTGTTAGATATTTAGTGCTTATTTAGGTTATTTAGTGTTAGATGTTAAGTGTTTTATTTATTTAGCTCATGCTCAGAGGAATGAGGTATACAAATACATAGTGTTAAATATTTAGTGTTTATTTAGTTTATTTAGTGTTAGATATTTATTATTTTATTTATCTAGCCCATGATCAGAGGAATGAAGTATACAAATGCATAGTGTTAGATATTTAGTGTTTATTTAGTAAATATAAAATATTTAATAAAGTACAGTCACTCTGCAAACAGAGATTTGTGCTGTCCTAAGCCCTGAGCTGAAAATACCATTGTGACACAAATGTGGCAGAGAATTTTTTGCCTTTTTTCTGCAAGCAGCCAGGAAGGAACCTTTGAGCATTTAGATGCTGAGGAAATCTTACCTGTGTGTAATCAACTTACCATTTCACCAGCTGGGTAGAGCCAGGAGAGTTTTTGTCTTCTCGCAGAATTTTCACACAAACATCTCAAAAAAAACCCAAAAAAACCACACATTAACTTAGGACAAAGTGCAGGGAAAAGTTCAATGTCCAAAAGCAAATATCAAGAAGAGACTAAAATTAACATTACTGACAAGTGTGAGCATCGTTTTAATGTCAGTTAGCAGCAGCAATACCAAAACGTAATTTATTAATAGGTGAAATTTCCATTACGTGCATCAAAATGGCATCCACTCATTAAAAAGACCAAGTGGCCTTAAAAATAACTCCATGCCAAGAATTTTTGTCAATTCTGATGGAAGCAGCCCCTTACCATCCATGTATCTGGTTCCATAGGCACTCTCAGGGAAGATTCCCCTCAGGTAAGTGATGCAGGACACTGCCACTGCCAGGAGCCTCTTCACCACCATCAGGGATTGCTGCTCCGTGGCAATTTTATTGGGAAATACAACTGCATTCTGAAAATCCCAGCAAGAAACCAATGAATTTGTATGATTTATAGAAGTTAAGCACATTCCTGACGCTTGGTGGTACAGTATTTGTAGGACACAGCTGGTTTCTACCAAGCACACAACAAAATTCGAATTATTTTTCTATACTTCTTTCTATCTATTCTTTATCCATAATTAAAATATTAAATTACCCTATTTTCCCATTATTGTGCTGAAATACACAAACAAAACCATACCACAGAATTCCTTTGCTTCTGAGCAGTTGCCATTCTGCAGAGATTCCTGTGCCTGTCAATAAAACACCTGCATTAGCACCTGGATAAAGAAAAAGGGGCTGCAGCTTCTCCAGGGCATTCCCTAGATTTACAAACACCTCCTTCACAATTCACCAGCTCAAACAAACCTGTGCTTTTCACAAAACAGAACAGGATGGCTTCTCTAATCATCCCCAGTATCAGATTCTTGATTTTCACGGCTTCCCTGAGGCTACAGGATGCAATAATTAGAATGTTTATATCTGTATTTCTATGAAATATGAACATCTAAAAGCAGTTCTCTTCAGTACTAAATGGTGCCCAACCTACAGGATTTTCAAATGTATGAAAATGCTCCCCACATTTCAAACACCCCCAGACTTGATTTGTTTTCATCTATAATTTAAATGAGTGTGGGAGAATCTGAACCCTCACCACTCTAAGCCTGACTCCACACAAACCTTCCCCCCAACCCAGGAATAACAAATTCACCCACGCCTGAGGAAAACACCTTCCCCAAGTTACAAATAAGGTCTGGATCACGAGGGGCACCGAGTTCCCCTCAGTAATCCTCCATAAACCCCCTGATTGCAGCACAGGGCCGCTGTGAGGAAGGAGCCGCTCCCCTCAGCCTCAGCCCAGAAACCACCACCTGCTTCGAGGGAAACTGAGGCAAGCGCGAAGACACAACGCTGCAGAGCAGCACAGGGCGGCGGGCAACAAAACTCGGAGGTAAGGTGAGAGAGATAATCGAGGAAAAACTGGAGGAGAAAGTGAGGAGAGAGAAGGGAAATTAAGGAAGTTGAAGGAAAGGAGGTGAGAGAAGCGCGTGCCCTCACCCTCAGGGCGCCTTTCCCGCCCTCGCCCTCAGCGGG